GATTATAGTAAAAACCACCATCTCCGGCCACTCTAAATGCTCACAGGTTGTATCTGGTGAGACCGTCCAGAGACTGCAGCCCGGTTCCTTGCCTGCACGTGGTCAGAAAAAAAAAGCACACATCAGGGGCAGCGCAAGTTTCTTGGTGTCCAGGGGGTGAGCCGTTTAAGGCTCCTGCCACGAAAACAACCAGCCGCCTTCCCAACCCCTTAACGCCTAACCAATGTTGTTCGGAACGACGTCCATCTCATCCGATGCCCCCAGACTCCGGAGGCGGGGGGGAGGCTTTGGACTTAGCGCAGGGAAGCAGCTGCCTGGATCCTCGGAAAAGCTGTATGAACTGAGCAGACCAGGAGATCAATCCTGTACCATTCGGGGTTTATTTTCAGGCCTAACTTAAACAGTTATTTTTGACCTTGTAAAGCCTGAGGGTATTTGAAGGATTTGGCTTACCTTACCTCTTAGGCATTCAAAACTGCCAGCATCTTAAATTCAGTCTCGGAGGTTTTTGGCAACCACTGGCTGTCTCGGCCCCAATGAATTACAGCGCTTAGCTACCCTTCTTTCCTACCTTTCCCTCCGTGCACCCAGGGTGGTGTTTGTGGCTTGTACTTCCTAGGTACCTGGCCTACCAAAGGTAGAAAGAGACTGGCTTCAGGTCAGCTGATAAGTTTCAAGGGCAAGCGAGGATGATAACAAGAGTTTCCGCTCCATCCTGCTTCCAGTTTGTGAGGTAGGAAAAAAAAATATATATATAGACATGAAACACTCTCCAAATGCATATGGAAAAAGTTATATAACAGTGCAAAGTTAAGTTCCTTGGATTCCATATCTACCATTCATAGCCGTAGGGGTAATCTATTTTGTTTTTGGTTCTTATTGATTGCAGTACGTAAAATAAATATAACCTACTAGTCTGCCTGCACACCTGCACGCTGGCGCACACGTAAGCGTACTATCTGGTATCTAGGGTTCCTTTTTCACAAAGGAATCCCTCGAAACTGCTTGTGTAACCATGACGATGCCTTCTCCAAGTCGTTTGTGTGTAAAAAAACCCCACAGGATTTATTTGATTTATGAATGAAATTTAAAATAGTATTTATTTATTTTATTTTATTTGTTCGGTTTATATCCCGCCCATCTGGTATATTCTACCACTCTGGGCGGCTTACAGAATATCAAAAACAATTACCGTATTTTTCGCACCATAAGACGCACTTTCCCCCCACAAAGCAGGGGGGTGGAAAGTCTGTGCGTCCTTTAAAATAGTATTTTATTTTATTTATTCGGTTTATATCCCGCCCATCTGGTATATTCTACCACTCTGGGCGGCTTACAGAATATCAAAAACAATTAGTACATGTTGTGGTATAAATTCTGATAGCAGCAAGAGAACTTGAAAGCCGTCTCAAGCAGGTATAAGGGTTATGGAGTAAAAAATACGGTAGTACATGTAGCGGTATAAATTCCGATAGCAGCAAGAGAACTTGAAAGCCGTCTCAAGCAGGTATAAGGGTTTAGGGTTTTTATGGCATGAACTTTCCACAGGCTGATAGCGATTCCATCCTCTTAATTGAAACGGGCAGAAATTAAAACTGGGTCTGCTTGCTCCTATCTGTTCCACCACAAAGCTATGGTCCCTTTCCCTTAAATGGTCTGGATTCGGTGACATTATCGTAGACGAGTAAATAAAAACATAAGTACATATCGCTACCCAATAAGAGCATCGGCTGGCATGCGGTCAACGAATTTTCAATGTTTAAAAATATCACATTCTTTGTAGCTAGCTACGGGCGAATTTCTCCGTGCTGAAGGCCTTACAGTAAACAATCCCAGCACTCTTGTAATACAAGCGGCTGCTTTCAGAGGCATTTTCCAA